CACCTACTGTGTGCAGGCAGTGGGGATTTGCATACAGATGAGAGCAGGCCCTGCCCACATGGGGCTCCAGCCCAGACATGGACTGGAGTGACTATGCCGCTACCTTTCCTGCAGGGCCATGAGGGGGTGAAACCAGCCACACCCGTGAACAGCCCACGATTGGTCAGTCAGGGCTGGTACCCTGTGCTGTTCTCTTGCCACTGGTTGATGTGTTCCTGGGTGCTGGGGCCAGGGTGCCCCCAGGGCCCCGACAGGCCCACACTGTCCCAGGGCCTGGCTCTGTGATCAGGGGCCTGGCTCTGTGACCAGGCCCCACACCCAGATGGGCACAACTTCCTTCCTCCTTCCTGAGTCCTGCTGGGAAAGGGAGAAGGTGCTGGCAGGAGCCAGAATACTGAGCCTAGCAAACCCTTCTGGCTCCCACCTGCACCCCAACGCCCCCCAGTGCCGCGCTTGTCCACGGCCATGGCTGTGTCCATGCTGTCCCCTCCGCCGAATGCCCATCAGCCTCTTCCCTGGACCTCAACATTTTACCCTTGTCTCACGGCCCTGGCACTGTCACCTCCTCTGGGCAGGGGACATGTTCCCTCTGCCCTCCCACAGATTGGGGGTGGCAAGGAGCACTCTGGCTGTCCTTCTTCCAAGACGGACTTGTTCGTTCTTCTGGCAGTCCACGGTATATTCAATATTCTTTGTCAACACCGTAATTCAAAGCCCTCAATTCTTCTTCACTCTTCCTTATTCCTTGCCCAGTAAACGTGGCTGGTTTAAGCCGCGCCCCCGATCTGGGAGACAGCAGCGATTTCATCCCATTTTCCTCCAAGTCAGGCCCAGCAGCAGCATCTGCCAGTCAAACCCAGATCCTGCTCTCCCCAGTGAGAATCTCGGTCAGAGTGAGGGGCACGAAGAAGACTTTAGGTTGCTGGAATGTTCTATACTGTGGCCCAGGTGGTGGTTAGCGTAGGTGTAGATATTCACATAAGTCCATCAAACCGTACAGCCAGCTCTCTGCCATCTACTGTAAGTAAATTGCATCTCCATTGCTAAACCAGTGGGGCTTTAAGCGTGGGGAGGGTCTGTCCCTTCTGATCGCTCCCCCAGGCCCAGGCGACATCTCTGCAGAGGGGTGCAAGGCGGGCTGTTGACAGACTTCATGAGGCACCAGTATGCATGAACGTCCCCAGGACTAAGTTCCTGGGGCCTCAGAGGCAGAGGCGGCAGGACGATGGGCCGAGGCCATTGGTGTGTGCATCAGCTGACTGCTTGTGGAAATTAGATTTTCCAAACGCCTGTTTATTTTGCAGAGACGTGGAGAGAGGCAGTTAGAGGTGCAACTGTCAGCTGGGTTTCACTGGTAATGCCATGTGTTTTGAAGACCGAGGGCTCAGGTGGTGGCCCCAGGACCTCCTGGAGCAGAGGTGTGAACTTGGAAAGTAGGGTGCGCAAGGGGAGGCAGGGCAGTCTGGGGGACTCGCGGGGTGGAGGCAGAGCAGGCACTCGCCCTCAGCGTCCCCAACATGCTCTTACCCCAGGCCCCGGGGAGGCACCCCCTGCTCTCTGGGGCGGGATCCCCCAATGTCAGATTAGGCTGCCTTGTCCCAGGGAACAGATGGGAGGGAGGAAGCCTAGCCCCGGTCTCCTCAGCAGAGATGCAGACCTCACCCCGATTCCTGTGTGTGGAGACCAGCACCCCGCCCTCCTCCCCCCTTAGGGGACACGGTGCGTCAGAAGAGGCAGCCCCTTTAGTGGTACAATGAGCACAGCTGGTTCTACCTGAGGCTGGGCAGCAAGGCTGGTGTCTCCCCCGTTGGGGACAGGGGTGTCCCCTGAGGGCCTAGGAGGAGAAATCCAACCAGAGCATTCGGCTACTCCTGCCCCCTGCCCCGAGGCCAGTTCTCCTTCAGAGATGGGACTCACTTTCCAGCTGAGCTGATGCAGATGTGGAATGCCCACCACAGAACCCACATGCCTTCAGAGGGTACTACTTCTGTCCGAAAGTATCCAGAGTGCCCCTCCACCCAGTTGATTGCCAGGGACCTGTGGGCATTTTGGGGGCCACCTTCCAGATCACAGCCCCCAATCTTAGTCCATCATGCCACTTAGAGTGTGTTGTTGTGTGCTGTGAAATCTATTCTGACTCACAGCGACCCCATGTGACAGAGTAGAACTGCCCCACGGGGATTTTTGGCTGTAATCTTTACGGGAGCGGATCGCCAGATCTTTCTTCATGGAGCCAATGGGTGGGTTCAAACCTCTGACCTCTTGGTTAGTAGCCGAGCACTTAACCAGTGCACCACCAAGGCTCCTTAAAACCAAAAACCAAGCCCATTGCTGTCAAATGGATTCCAACTTACAGTGACCCTATAGGACAGAGTAGAACTGCCCCATTGGGTTTCTGAGGCTGTAATCTTTACTGGAAGCACACTGCCACATCTTCCTCCCTCAGAGCAGCTGGTGGGTTCAAACTGCCGACCTTTCAGTTAGCAGCTGGGTGCTTAACCAGTGTGCCACTAGGACTCCTTACTTTGAGTGGATTTCCTCCCAAATAGCATGAAATGACAGCCTATCAAGTTAATTCAAACGCCTTGCAGCACTGCCGGCCGCTGGAAGGGGGTTGAAATGTCAGTGCTGAGGAGACGCTTGTGTTTCTGATCAGGCCCAGCCTCCCCATGAAGGCCTCTGTGGTGGGGTAAGTGGCCTCGGGCGGCAGCCTCGGTGCGGCTCCTGGCTGGGTCGTGGTCAACAGGACCCGGCCGGGCAGGGCCACCTGTGCCAGGCAGCCAGAGCGCATGGGGCCGGCTCACCAGCATTCCCCCCATAGACGGGTTTGGGGTGTGTGCAGCGTCCCCAGGATCAGAGCCTCCTAGGGGCTGATGACGCCTGTTGGGAACAGGATTCCTGCTTTAACGACCCAGCACTACTGTTAAGAGGCCCAGCACCCCTTTCCAGGATGATGACGCCTCTCTCAGGAGCTCCCACGTGTTGGGGTCGCTCCCCAGCATCCTGGGAGAACAGAAAGCTCAGGGTGAGCAGGGTGGACAAGGGCCTAGCAGTGACATGCAGTCCTGGGAGAAGAGGATCTAAATGGTGGAGTCTAAACAGGCTTTGGAGTCCCTGGTGGTGCAACCATTATCACGTTCAGCTGCTAACTGGAAGGTTGACAGTTCTAGTCCATGCAAAGGTGCCTAGGACGAAAGGCCTGGTGATCTACTTCTGAAAAATCAGCAATTAACAACAACACCACAACTGCCTGCCTGGTGCTTTACCGACCTTGTCTCCGATCTTTGCGAAGTGTCGAGGTACTTACTGCTCCCCCTGCTTTGGAGCAGGAGGCTCAGTGTGACAGGTTGGCAGAGAGTGAGTGTCTGGCTGTCACTGGCCCATTGGCCTTGGCGCCAAGAGTGCAGTGCCGTGTCATGGCGGTAAACACAGACGTAGGCTGGGAGGAGGGACCTCCAAGGGACAGGGCAGCCCCTGCGGAGACAGAGGGGCAGCTGCACATCCTCCGGCCTTTCTGGCGGGTTCCAGTCGGCCCCACGGGGCACTGGGGAGTGCTGTGGCCACGGGGCTGCCAAGCTGGCTGTGAGGCGGGGCCTGACGCGGACGCCCCGGCAGCGAGGGAGCCATCTCAGCAATCGCTCCAACAGTAATGGAAGTGGCAGTTTGATTTCATCTGTGAATACTACACTGGGTTCTCAGGGCAGTAAAAGCAGTGTTTATGTTACATTAATATTTATTAGCATTTATTGGTGTTGAGTTATCTCTGCAGAACATCACAGCTATTCTGTCAAAATGCGGGGAAAACTGCAACCCGAGAGGCAATTCAATGGCTGTGCTCCAGGCCGTGTGCGGCCCCTGGGCTGGCCGGCCACCACTGCTCAGCTCAAGGGGAGGGCCGGCCAGGTGGCTTCTCCTAGGGATTCCTCACGTGTTTCTGGGAGGCCTGGGCTGCTCCCCCACTTCCCTCACCCAGCCAGGCGGAGAGGAGCCTTGGAGGGTGCAGGAAGCAGGCCCTGATGATGCTCCAGGCAGCTCAACAAACTCTTCCCAGGCCCAGGGAGGGGCTGGAGAGGCGGGACGCTCACCCTGTCCCCACTGACCTCTCGGCCCGCCCTGCAGCGGACCCAGCTGGGAGCGGTTCCTGGTAGGAGCCGCCCGGGCCAGACCCGGACGCCCCGGCCCAGCTTGGGTGGATGACACCAGGCTCCCGGCAAGGGTTAAGCGAGGGCTGGTGTAAAGGCATATGGGGTGCTCAGGAGTGGGGTCTCCTTACTCCTCCTGCAAGGAGGTCGGGTTCAAGGGAGCCTCTGCTTCCGTGTCCATGGCACCCATTCCTGCCCCGATGGGTGGGGGGCAGTGGAGAGGGCCGAGTGTGGGTCCCAGCTCTACCATAGTTGACCATGATGCCAGCCAGCACGTCCACCCACAGCGTTCGCTCATCTGTAGCACAGGGTTGTACCCTCGCTCCGCAGCGCAGAGAGGGACGCACCAGGCCGGGGCAGACGCCCACACTGGACACTGTCCATTCCTGGGTCTGGCCTAGCATCATCCCACGGCCCCGATGCTCCCGGGAGGAGGTCTGAGCTGCTTGTCAGGCGTCACCCCGCAACTGGCCCTTGGCCCGGCCAGCCACGTCTCCTGCACGGCGAAGCACTGTCCACTTCAGCCGCCTGGACACCAGCCTTTGCCCACGATCCCCTCTCTCCTGCCTGCTCACCAGCAGGACGGAGCTGGGCCTGAGTGCTCTCCTCTGCCTCAGTCTCAGGCCCTGGCCTCACCTGTGTGCTGCATGGATGTTGTGGGCACCTGGGCCGGGCATGGGGCCATGGAGGGTCAGGGAAGGCTGGAGGTCTGTTGTAATGGAACTGGGGAGCAGAGCTGGGGGTGGCCTTCAGGGGCTGGGGGAAGCAGGAGCCCTCAGGAACCCCTGCAAGATGTCTGAAGGACCCAGGTGTGACCAAGCGCTTCGCCCCGCGGGAGCCTAGCTCTGCTGTTGACGGATGTGTGACCCGGGCGAGCCAGTGAGTCCAAGGTTGAGAAGAGGGCTGAGGTTTGGGCTTGTTAGTCGTGTGGCCTCAGGAAAATGCCTTATGTTCTCTGGGCCTCAGTTTCCCCATCCTTAAATGAGGAGGAGGACTGCACAATCCGTGAGTTCAGGCGGTCTGGAACGGATGCTTTTTTCGTCCACTTCAAAAATGTTGGGTTTCTCTAAAGTGAGACCAGAACTCCTTTTCCACTGCCAACTACGCCTCCGTTCTTGATGTCGCACGCCTCTGGGTTCTGAGATGTTAAATAAAAAGCTTCTCACCGGGCTCCGATCCCCCAGCCTCTGAGCTGTAATGAGACCCTGCTGCCCCGGCGGAGTCGTGGGCTGTGGATGAGGCTCATGGGGCAGGGTGTGCCTCTCTGGTGAGGATGCGGCCAGGACAGTCCTTGCTTCCGGAGGCTCACGGGGTCGGGGAGCCCAGCCCGCGCTGGGCATGGGCAGGAGGCAGAGCCACGGGGGCAGGAGGGCAGAGCATCCCCTGGGAAGGCAGCTCAGGGTCGTCTGTGGCCCTCATGTGGCCAGAGGACATGGGTGGGTGAGAGGAGACCAAAGAAACCCCAAAAAGCTGGCCACCCCCACACTTCTGCCCCGAGTTCCCAGGCTGGTCTGGATGCTGTTGTGTGGCCATTGCCATGGCGACCCCTGAGTGGACATGAGACACAACCAGGTTTTCAAATAGCTTCCAATGCCCCCCGTGCAACAGGAAGTAAGGCTGGGCCTCCACAGGGGAGCGTGTCTGAGGGTGGGGGACTGAGTGTGTGTGGAAGCCGTCAAGTCTGTAAGCACCCCCACCCAGCCACCTCCCAAACACCCTCAAACTCACACTCCCCCCAAGCCACTCCCACTGCAGAGGGAACTCCCGGCCTCCGCCCACGCTCGTGGAAGATGGCGCAAGTTAGAGATGGGTGTTTCCTTCATGCCTGTGTTCTCGGGCCTCAGGTGGGCTGTGCTCGTGCATCTGGGGCTAAGGTGTGCTCGCCTGTGTGTTACACAGAACAGAATGCTCCCCTGTGACAGTCCACTCTGACAGAGTCCTGGCAGACAGGAGTTAGGTCACCTTTAACGGACAGCTGTGGAAACAGGTGCAGAGAGGTTAGGGAATGCCCCCAAGGACGCACAGCTGGTCGGAGTCGGAGCTGGACTCAGGGTCAGGAGAAGCCATGTGACATGTAAGGGGATGTGTCCGGGTCTGGGCAGCGGTCAATCCTGAGTTGTGAATCTGAGTGGAGAAAGTTCTGGAAAAGGGCAGTCCAGGTGGGGCTGCTCCCTGCCTGCCTCCATCTCTGCATCCCTAGCCGTGGAAGGCTCTCTCTCCCTCTCTCAACCCCTCTGTGAATAGCCCTGTCCCCAAAATGGCCTGGGGGAGGGGCCAGTGAAGCTCTAGGGGAGGGGCAAACCCACTGACCCCAACGAGGATCACTGTCCTCCACTCGTGACCAGGAAAGAGAGGAAGGGTCTCGAGAACTGAGTTCCACTGAATTGGAACTCAGCTGTGGCGTGAGGGAGAGGCAGACGCCCTTAGCTGGCCCCATGGTGGTGACAGGGCTGTCACTTCTGACCCTGCTCTGTGTCCTTCCTGCTGCCGGCTGTGACTATCTTCCCCTGGTCAGCGAGCAGGACTCTAGCCAGTGGGCTCGGGATCGGACCCCACACTCAAACTGCCTGTTTGTTTGTCCGTGGTGGACATATGACCGTGGGTGCCATCAGTGGGTGTCAGGGCAGAAGTGGACTTGAATCAGGCAGGCATGGCTGGGAGCCAGGCTCAGGGGCTGCGTGGGAGGTCACCCCGTCCATTCTGGATACGGGATGGTCCCCGAGGCTGAGGTTCTCTCTGCTTCCGGAACATGTGTATGTGGACATGGGGGCCACTCTGAACCCCACGGGCTTGTTTACCCCCCTGCCGAGGGTTCCACTGCGGGGTGAGACTGTGGGGTGGGGGTACTCTGGGTGCAGGAACTGATCACAGCCAGACGGTCGGGTTAACAGGTGTGCACACATGTGGACGGGGTTCTCAGTGAGAGCCGGGCTGGTCCATGCCGTGGGTGCTGGCGGGCAGCAGGCCTCCACGTGGAGTGAGGCTCTGCTCCCACCTTCCCTGCTCACAGCTCCCTGAGCGCCTGCTGAACAGGACCTTGGAGTTGGGCCCTGGGACCCTGGTTGTCCTCGCCCCACCACATCCTTCAGGGAACATCACCATGCTCCTGCCCAGCGGGGACCTGGTGGGGCCTGGGGCTGAGGGCGGTGTCAGACCCGAGCTCAGCTCCCAGGAGCCGACGGTCCGGCAGGGAAGAAGTGAGGTGAAGAGGCAGATACGGTCTGTTATGGGGTGCTGGGAGGGGAGCAGCCCTGCCCCACGGCTCACCACCCCTTCCCAGGGCCAGCCATGCAGTGGGCACCCCAAAATGTTTGCTGAATGAGTGACGGAGTGAAGGGGGCATCTGGACTAGCCATGGGTGGCAGATGTCAATGATGTCTGGGGGTCATCACACCAAAGGAGAGAGTTGAGGGGCTGGTGGTTCTGGGGGGAAAGGTCAGCTTGGTGAGCCTGGGGCGGGGCCGTCTGAGGGCGGGAGGAAACCAGGAGCAGGGGGCTTCCTGCTTCGGGGAGAGCTGGGCAGTGGGTCTGATGCTGCACAGAGGTCCAGGGAGGCCGGAAACAAGCGGGCCAACAGTATGTGCAGCAGGGGGGATGTAAGCGTCCTGTGGCTGCCGTGACAGAGTACCACACGCTGGGGGGCCTGTAAGAACAGAAACGTATTCCTCACGGTCTAGAGGCTAAATTCAGGGTGTCACCAGGGCCCCACTCCCTCCGAAGCCTCTAGGGGAAGATTCTTCCTTGTCTTTTCCAGCTTCTGGTGGCCCCAGGCCTTCCCTGTGTGCAGATGTGCCTTCCTGCGGCCCTCTCCTTTCTGTCTCTCTGTCTCTGTGTCTCGTCTCCTCTTTTATAAGGACAGCACTCAGATGGGGTCAGGACTACCCTGCTCCAGGCTGACCTCACATTGACTGATAGCATCTGCAAAAACTCCATTTCCAAACACGGTCACCTTCACAGGGACCGGGGTTAGGACTTCAACACACATTTTGGGGGGACACAATTCACCCATAACATCCCTATAGCAGGACCAGGGTTAAAGCACCTTCACCCCTTGGGGGAACGGTCCTGGGCTTTACGCTGACGTCACGAAAAAGCACAGGACACAGCGTGAGGCAGTGTGTTCTCAGCGCGGAAGGACACGCGGTTGGAGGAGACACGGGCAGAAGCCTGCCAGTCAGGGGTGACCCGAAGCCGTTCTCCCTCCCTCCACCCACTTCTCTGCACTCCTGTATTTACCCTGGTTATGGGGGGAGGCGGGCACATACATCCCATTTGGGGGCAAGGAAGGGGGTGCTGGAGGGTACAGGTGACTTTCCCGGGCTCCCCAAGAACACTGTGCCCCCGCCAGGATTTGCACCTGGACGGGCTAACGTGGAGGCCTCAGCCCCCTGCCCTGGTACCCAGAAGGACCTTCCTCCCAGGCCGCGTCTCACTGCCCTCCCGACCCCTCCTAGCGCGGCCATGTCCCTCCCCAGCTCCGGGCAAGGCCAGTGTTCCGCTCGCCCTCGGCCCAGCGCGCCCCGAGCCTCTTCTGGCAGCCGGCGCCGTTTACTTCTCGCAGCCCTGGGCAGCAGGGAGGTTTTCTTGCGACCGAGAGAGCTGAGGGCCAACGCAGCTAGTGGTGGAGCCAGAACTCGAGCCCGACCCAAAGCCGGGTCTAGGCCCCGGCACACTCCTGGGTGAGGGCGGCAGGCACTCAGCAAACGCTTACTCAAGGCGCGTTTCGCAAAAGCCAGGCGAGGCTTCCCGCCCGGGAGAAGCACAGCCTGCGCCCACACCGGTTTGCTCGCGCCTCCCCGCCGTCTCGGCCGCGCCGAGCTTCTCCGAGGTTTTTTGGACTCAGCCGGTGCAGGAAAAATGTGAAGTTGTCTTTGACTTTTACGGCCGTTTGTTCCCTATTAAAATGCTTAGAGCTGTGAATGTAGTCATAAGGTGCTCGTTTATCTTGACAAAAGTGCCCCATAAACTATCCTCGCTCGTGAATCAGCCTCTGAGATGATTGTTTCTGCTGCTGTCAATAAATTCCGATGTGGAGCGGAAAGGTCAGCCCTTGCCAGATAAAATGCCTTTTCGGCTTGTTAATTAAAGGTTTATAAGGACGTGGGAGAACGCACACGGGGAAGCCTGAGCGCCCAGAAAAAGGCAGGTAGCTGCAGATAGTAGGACGTCGGAAGCCGCATCACGCCGACAGAGGGTGGACGGTCAGCGGAAGGTGCCTTTGGGGTTCCTGAAGGAAACCACTATTTCCCAGAAGCAGGGAGGCGGGGGGACGCTGCCAGGCAGCCTGGCCTGTAACAAACTGCTTCTCAAACCACAGGGGCATTGGACTTTGGCTCAGAAGATCATCACCTCATTGGTACCCGAGGTGTAGGGCCTTGGCGGATGCGGTGTCCGTCCCTCCTGCCGGCCTGGCACAGAGGGGAGCCAAGTGCCCGAGGTCTCTCCACAGTTAGGCTTAGAGAGGTGCCGGTCTCTGGACCTCCTGGCGGCCAGCGGGGTCAGGGTCAGGCACCGGGGTGGCATCAGGAACCAGGTCAGGGTACTGTAGTTCACGGAGTCGGCAGGTGAGTTGGGGCACACCCAGAGGCTCTGTTTGTTTCACGATCCTCTGTGGGGACTGGCATTGTCCCTGTGGTGGGTTGTTTATTTCTTGCTGAGTGGTTCCCGAGAACAAGGTCAAAGCCAAGCTCTCCCTGTGTTTCTCCCCAACCCTCTCGGGACTCAGCCTCTTGGCAGCCTCTGTCCCTCTGAGCCCCTCCTTCCTCCTTTCCCTCCCTGATTGTGAATTCCTGAGGCTGGATGTTAGGAGTCTCCAGTGTTCTAAGTCAGGTGGGAGGGCCAAGCCCAGACCAGAAAGGAAGGCTTAGAACCACAGACGCTGGCACCCGCAAGACGCTCGGACACAGAGAAAAATTCCCAGCCAAGAATTTGTAGAAAGACACATGATCATACCAAAGTGGGCGCTAGGGAAACGGGTGACCAGTAACACCCAGAAACAGACACGCTGTGACCCTCACACCCACCAGAGTTGCCCACAGGAGCGGATTTACAGCAGAGAGGCACACACAGGACTCACACACAGGCACACACGAACGCGGGGAAGTACGTGTGCGCGCGCACACACTCGAGCACACACAGAGCACGCCAGCAGCACACACACTACACCCTCCTCCGCGCTGGCCGGCGTCTGGACTTGTTGGGGCATCTTAGCCAGACGCATTGCCTTGGGCAGATCTGCTGCAAAAGACCTCTTTAAAGTGTTAAAAAGCACAGATGTCACTTTGAGGACTAGGGTGCATCTGACCCAAGCTATGGTATTTTCAATCGCCTCATACACATTGAAAGCTAGTCAGAGAATAAGTCCAAAGAATTGATGCCTTTGAATTGTGGTGTTGGTGAAGAATATTGAGTGTAGCATGTACTGCGGACTGCCAAAGGAACAAACAAATCTGTCATGGAAGAAGTGCAGCCAGAATGCTCCTTAGAAGGAAGGATGGTGAGACTATGTCTCACATACTTTGGACATGTGATCGGGAGGGATCAGTCCCTGGAGAAGGACATCATGCTTAGTAAAGTAGAGGGTCAGCGAAAAAGAGGAAGACTCTCAACGAGATGGATTGACACAGTGGCTGCAACGATGGGCTCAAGCATAACAACAATTGTGAGGATGGCGCAGGACCGGGCAGCGTTTCGTTGTGTTGTACAGAGGGTCGCTGTGAGTGGGAACCGACTTAATGACACCTAACAGAAGGGCGTCCCTAGGAAAGCAGGTCCCTTCCTGCTCTCTGGCTCCCAGCCATACTTGCCACAGGGGGTCTGGGTTCTAGGGTCTTCTTGTTGACCCCCTACCCATGCAGGAATGCCTGTTCCCTGGAGGCCACTCACCTTGGCCTAGATGCCCCGCTGGGGGGAACTCACTCCAAGAAACCACTGGAGGGAAGTGCCCGCGTGGACCTTTAGGTTGTAGAACCTGCTGGAGGGACAGGTCAGTTTTTTCTCAACCTGAGGTCTCCAGGTTGGCAGCACCATCTGGAAGCTTATGAATCAGGTAGCTGCTCTGCGCCTACCTCCCCATCCACGGCCTGGGCTGAGCCCGGGGTCTGGCGGCTCGCAAGTTCATGGTGACGGTGGAGTGCTGGTGGATCCAGTCAGGAGAAGTCAGGCCTTCTCTGCTCACCCTGTTACTCAGAGGGGGGACCACAGTGGGGACAGAGTCTCCTGTAACGGGAAGTGACCATTCCCAAGTCCCAGCATCTGCGTTTGGGAAAAGCAGGGAGTGCCTGGGACATTGTTGCAGCCTCACACACAAAGCTGGGGTCACTGGGTTGGCAGAGGGACGTGAAACCACTTTAAGAATTGAGATGCTTCCTCATAAATGGTCTTGTCTACTTTTAATGTGCTCTGCATTGCATTGGGAGCTCTTTTCTGACAAATGTCCGAAGTGAATTTCCAGTCAGATGTGGGTAATTTGCCTCCAGGCAGAGAGGCTGGCAGCTGGCTTGAAGGAACTGAACCTCCAGGAGTCTGGCCCATGGGGGGCAGGTGGCAAATTTGGGGATGGGTGCTATTCTTTTTGGGGCTGGAGAGAGATCAAGTGAGGGGGAAATAAGGAGGGGAGTTAGTATTAACAGTTTCATTGAGGTAAAATTGATAAACAATAAAGTTTGCAAATTTAAAGTATGCAATATGATAAATTGGACACGTTTACAGCTGTGAAACCATCGCCAGATCAAGACAGCGAACATATTCTTCACCCCCAAAAGCTTCCTCATATCCCTTTGTAATCGCTGTCTCCCACCCCACACCGCCGTCTCCAGGTAACCTCTGATCCATTTTCTATCGCTGTCAATTAGTTTATATTTTCTAGAGTTTTATATAAATGGCATCATATGTATTTCTTTTTTTTGGTCTGGCTTCTTTCGTTCAGCAAAATTATTTTGAGAGTCATCTATGTTGTTGCGCATATCAATACCTCATTCCTTTTTATTGCTGAGTAATATTCCATTGTATGCAGAGACCGTGGTTTGTGTATCCGTGTACCTGCTGATTCCCTGCCTTTGGCTATTACAAATAAAGATTCTGTGAGCATTTGTGTACAGGTCTTTGTATGGACCCGTGCTTTTGTTTTTCTTGGGTAATGCCTAGGAGTAGGATGGGTGGGTCATTTTGGTAAATGTATGTTCCGCTTTTGAAGAAATTGCCACACTGTTTTCCAAAGTGGTGGCACCGTTTTACATTCCCGCCAGCACGTATGAGAGTTCCAGTTGCTCTGTGTCCTCGCCAACACTTGATCTGATCAGTCATTTTTCGGTGCTTCAGAGGTAGAATTCTCACCATCCATGTGGGAGACCGGGATTCAATTCTGGCCAATGCACTTCATGTGCGGCCACCACCACTCTGTCCGTGGAGGATTCGTATTGCTGTGATGCTGAACAGGTTTCAGCAGAGCTTCCAGACTAAGATGGACTAGGAAGAAAGGTCAGCAGTCTACTTCCAAAAACGAGCTAATGAAAACCCTATGGATCACAACAGTCCGAGCTACAGCGGATCATGGGGATGGCGTGGGACCGGGCCTAGTTTGTTCCTTTGTGCTTGGGGTCCCCGTGAGTCGGGGGCCAACATGACGGCAGCTAACAAGTACTTCACTGTGGTTGTAATTTGCCTTTCCCGAATAACTAATGATGTTTAGTGTCTTTTCATGTGCTTATTTGCCATCACGTATCTTCTCTAATGAAGTATTTGTTCGTGTCTTTTGCTCAGTTCATCTTATTACTGAGTGTAAAGAGTTCTTTTACGTGTTCTGGATACAAGTCTCTCCTCAGATAGGTGATTCGCAAATTTCTTTTCCCCCAAACTGTGGCTTGTTTTTCCTCCTCTTAACACTGTCTTTCCAGCTGCAGAAGTTCTTAGTTTTGTTGAAGTCCAATTTATTAGTTTGTTCTTCTATGGATTCCACTTTTGATGTAGTAGCTAAGAACCTTTTGTTTGTTCAAGCATCGTTTGTGAAAAGACTATCCTTTTTCCACTAAATTAATTGTCTTTGGATCCTTTACTGCGAATCAATTGACCACGTATGTGCGAGTCTATATTTGGACTCTATTCTTTTCCATTTAACTACTTGTGTACTTGATGCCAATACTGCCCTGTCTTGATTACTGTAGCTTTATAATAGATCTTGAAATCAGGTAGTGGAAGCTCTTTGCCTTTTTGTTTGTCTCAGAGTTATTTTGCCCACTCTAGGTCCTTCGCATTTCCATATACGTTTTAAAATCATCTTATCAATTTCTACCAAAAAAAAAAAA